TTATTTAATATATTATATAAATATTTTGTTTTTGTATACCAAAAAATTAAATTTTAAAGCCAAACTATGTAAAACGAATATGCAGAACTACTAGAAGTTACCAACAATTTAATAGTTACCTGTGTAGAGGACTTTCTGGAAAATGGTCTAAGCCTTCGCTAACACTACTGCTTGGCGATGGTGTAGCATCATTTAAGCCTGTAACACCGGCCTGCCTCAAAGCCTCAACACGTTTCTTGGCACGTCCCCGACGCTTCTCATAACGCGATGTTTCCATTGATGCCGCACGACGTCTTACAGACTTGCCGGGCTTTGCATCAGGATTCAACATCCACCAGGACGATTTTCCAGTGCCTTCATTCTGCACTCGCATAAAACGATTGTGCAAGGATAAATTGTGTCGTATTGAATTCTGAAAAAAAAGAAAGAACAATTTAGTAAAAGTAAGTAAAAAAATAATATTTAAATTTAAGTTAAAATAATCAATATTGAATTCTTTAAAAAGAATATACTTCTGACAATGTCATAAACTTCATAAAAATGGAAACTACTTCCGCTGTGTAAAGAAACAATAGTCTGGAGAAAAAGTACAGATAACAAATCGATATCAATTGTCACACAATTATTTTCTTTAACCATTTTTGCTAAATTTGCAATTTTTACCCTTTTTTTCCATGTACAGATTTGAGCAGTATTACCACTGAGAATCCATTTTGGCTTACCATATTTTTGTATCTCAACGCTGATACAACACAAAAGCAATATTTTAAGCTTTTTGTGAACTTCATAAGAAAGCAATTGTCTTCTTTAGCCCATTCAATTGTCTGCCGACAGTTTTATCGTTTTTCAAGGATAAGAAGTTCGAGCTTTCTTACTAATTGGACTGACTGGCAAGCGTAACAAGGAAGTTAGCAGCGCTTAAATTGTCAATTCATATTTTATCACATATTCAATACCTAAAATATGAGTTCAACTGCTGAATTGATATGCTGCGGTAGAGGTGGGGGATATGAGTGTTAAGTGACTGTAGTTTACGACTAAAAAATTATATTGTAATGGCAACATTTTTAGACGCGTCGTCGCAGCTCACCCTCCGAGTCTTTCCTTCAATGATGATGAGCCAACAGTTTGGTTTTCAAGGTGGGATTCTAGTTGTATTTTTAAGAGTTTTCCATTCATTTTCCATTTACTTTAGTTTCTATTTCACACACGTGTACATATATGCACAATTGTTGTACTCTAACAAAACTTCCAAAGCAATAGCAGACCTGTATAAGGACATCTCATAGCAGCATTTCGCTTCCTAACAAAACCAGATAAAAAAGGGAAATTCAAAAAAGTTCAGAGAATACTGAAAATAAAAGTAAAACCATAACGATTCGGTAGCACAGAGCAGGGCAGAAGAGCAACGTTGTGTGCCATATTGGCGCCATTTATCACCGCGGCAAAGGATTCCCTTTAAATCTAATTTTTACATGTATCGTTCATGTAAATGGGAATATTTCTATGAGTATATAAATTCGGCAATTTATAAATCTCTAAATGTGTGGGTTAAATTTAGTTATTTTAAAAATATATACGGCATAAAATCATAGTAAATTTTTTTCATAAAAGTTTTTCTTGGCGTCATTTTTACTCGTCGTTGTCATTTCGAGCTTGATTTAGTTTATTTTGTGGGTGAATCCTTTTGCCATAAACTTATCATATTTATTTAAATGCTTATGTCAGATGAGTTTAGCAACACCGTCTGCCATTTAACATATATTTTGTATCTTATTTTGCATTGACATAAAGAATTTATTATAAATAAATAATGAATATTATTAATTATAATAAAACACAAAAAAAGGACAATAGCCCCCAAATCTGTTAGCTTTAATTTTAAGGAAATTTTGCTTTTAATTTAAATTTTAAAATAAGTTAATATAAAGAAGGGGTATAATACTATATAAGAAGATTAATATTAAGCAGGGCAATAATAATATAGAGAGCGAAATTGAAAATATGTCTGTCATTATTATATATATGTTGAAATAAAGCAATAGAGATAACAACGAAGAAATCGACTTTAATAGTCAACTATGGGGTCCTCGAATTTATAAGAAGTTTAGCAAGGACAAGTTTCCATGTCATAATCTGTGAGTTCATTTAAGCACCTCTTTTATAGTATATCTGTAACCATCACCAAATTCTTTACAGAAACCTATCTAAAATCATACAGAACTGTACAATAGCTGCATAATCCGTGCCCAAATACTGTTAATCTTGCGCTTCCTAGGCTAACAGATAGGTTTGGTAGTGCCAAATTTATGTTAAACAAAGGATAACACAACTGAAAACTGAAAAAGTGACCCCTAGGATCTTTAAAGAGTTAAAAAAACTGACGATAAAATATAAAATATCTTAAAATTAATTTTATTTATAAATACAAAGTATGAAACACAAAGCAATTCATAATAATGGACAATTGAGAATTTTAATCTCACACTTCAATTTTATACGAATAATACCGATAGCTTTCGAAAAATTTATTTTGAAGGATTTTATATAGGTATAATAAAATGATATTAGTCACCAAATTTTTCAAAGCCAAGTACAGATTATTTATCACTGGAGATTACATATTTCAGATTACTTAATAACAACGTGTCGAGATAGTCCACAGAAAATAGGAAAATCCCATAACACAAATTTGACACTCTTTTTATTTTTTGTAATTATTTCTAAGTTCTTTCTTTTATTTAAATTATTAAATTTTGATAAAGTACTTCAAAAAACCCATTATGAATGAAAGAGAATAAAAGACTAGACAAGTGGGATTGAAAATTTCCGTCTTTCTACTTATAGAAATAATGTCCCTTGAACAATCCAACAATAGTTACAACAAACTTCCACAAAAAGTTTAGCAGCTTAAACTCAGAGATTCTGTGAAGATATCCTTCAAAGATACTTAGCATAATATGTAAAATTTCATGGTTTAAAACAAACAAAATAATACGTGGAACCTACATATTAGTAGTGCCAAAAAAGTAATTATCCGTTACTTTGTATTCGTTACTCAAGAAATACCGGAGTAACGAATACAAACTTTTTATTGTATTCGTTACTTTTACTCATTTTACCAATGAGTAGTATTCGTTTTACCTACTCTTTTGAGTACTTGGTAACGATTACTTTCAACAGCTGTTTTCGCGGTTTAATAACAACTACTTTATTCAAAAATTTTGTTCGTTTTCAAATTTATTAAAAATGTGTGAAAATATTAATAATAAAAAAAGTGAAATTTGGATTCATTTTGAACCAGTAGGAAGTGAAAAAGCTAAATGCAGATTATGTGGAACAAACTATTCAATAAAAGGTGGTTCTACTTCAAATTTGAGAAAGCATTTAAACATTAAGCATCCCACGGTCCTAAGCGCCGTTAATCGGAATCGTGAAGTAACGAAACCGCAGTAACGAAAGCGCAGTAACGAATACTGAGTAACTAATACTGAGTAACGAATACTGAGTAACGAATACATACTCGAAAAGTAACGGGTAGGTACGAATACCCAAAAGTAACGAAGTTTGGCACCACTACTACATATTCCTACTTTTATGGATAATAAAAGAGGTGCTAGATTTACTCTGTAACAAATAAAATATATTATTTCATATATTTATATTTTATATTATAAATATAATACATATTTATATAAATTTGTGATTATGGTAACTCCGTACATAATTTTTTGTACTACATAAGAAAATCTGGTATATAGTTGAGTGATTGTCATCCGATAAAGTTTATGGAAATTATTTGCAACTGTCTTAGAGTTCTTATAGAAATTATAAGGATTAACTATATGTTTATATATGAAATTTGTATATTAATTACAAATTTTTATAATGGATATAATATAAATAAATTTTATAAACAAATTATTAATCTATAAAATAAATCATATTTAGAAAAAGATGCATTAAATATTTTTATGTTTTTTTTTAGATTTTATAAAGTTTTGTTACAAACTTTAAGTGAATTTATGAATAAAACTCGTAAATACCATTAAATATAAAACGTTATTTATTAAGATTTTTTAATCTTTAATGCATGGCACAAAATATGATACAAGTATCTAATAATAAAATATATTTTATTACATAAAGTATACAGTTCAATGAATATTCATGTTCAGCAGTTTTAATTTAAGTAACGATTGTATGGATTATTAGGGCCAATTTTATTTCCGTTGCTGTTGAGTCTCTTTAGTTTTGCGTAGCAAATTTTTTGGGGTACTCAAGGATATAAAATATAAGAAGAGAAAACTTGTAAAGCAGAAATAAATCACCAAGACGATGCGTTGGTACGTTAATTCAAATGTAGGACAAACGATTTCATTCACAGCAGTTAACTACACCACTACCCTCTACCCTCCGCAGATATAATAAGTTTTTTTCCATCGTAATTATTCAATATATTTTAAGAAATTTGTATCTACTCGTTTTGTACTGCATGTATGTAAACAAATAAAGTTTTAATATGGAATATGGAATTTATATTTCTAATAAGATTTTATTATAAAATTTCTAAAAATAATTAAAAATGATCATTTCAGATGCAAATATGACGCTTAATGCGTGGTAAGCGTGATATTACTGCTTGGCTTTGCTGCTAACGACAAGGAATCTATAAAATGGGCTTAGCTGTAAGTAAGGGCAAAACAAAGTATATGTCAGCTCAACTGAAAATCACTTGGATGCCAAGCTGGTTATTGGCAACTATACTTTCGAAGCTGTTAATGATTGTATCTATTTTGTTGGGACCTGTCGTAATCATCAACAATACTGATACTATGGATATAAGACAAAAAATTACCATTTCTAATAGATACAATCAAGGATTTAGTGGGCAATTGAAATATAGAGTTCTTTCTAGACCCACAAAACTTATGGTTCTGTATGACGCAGAAATATGAATGGCATTACAAGTTGATAAAACAGTACTTTGTTATTTCTAGCAAAAAGTTTTTCGTAAGATATTGGACCCTTTACGAGTTGATAACAAGTACCACAGCCGTATAAATCACACTGAAGCACTGGGTAAATCCACACGCAGAATTACTATCTAGAGATGGTGCGTTGCGTCTAGCCCAAATCTGGAAACTGGTTTTTTGGTCAATTAAATAAGTACTAATATAGCATTATTTATAGATATATACAGGGTTTTTTTTTTATCAATATATGTAAGTGTTTGCAAATAGATAATATTATGTCTGTCATATAATACCATTCCTTTATAAGTTAATAATTCGCAAATCGACCATGTTACACATTATTTTTGTAGCAGTAGTTTTAGCAATATATAATAAAAATGATGTCACAAGATTCAGATAATTTCATTCATCAATTGATGCCTCACTCTTTAAAAAAAAAGAAGAAATTAAAAATGTCACTAAAAATAGCTGTCGGAATAGAGTCAGAAACAACGTTATATGAGTGAATATGCTCCGAATAAGTATTGGATTTAATGAGAGACTACACTACATATTAGCTTGTCAGGAAAATTAACGAGTTTTTAAGACAAGCATTTAATGAATATATTATCTCCTTAGTATTGTAAGATTTAGGGCTAGGGTAGCATTTTTTGTTAAAGTACT